ATCTTTTGAAGTGATCCCTGGGACCTTTAGGACTACATTTGCCTTTTCTGGCTTGCTTGTCCATGGTTCAGCTTATGTGACATCTGTTGCTGCCTAGAGGTGAGAAAATATGATATGCAAGGCCTGAGCATTAATTCTGATAGAGGAAGTGCTGCAGTAACATTCATTTGCTTTCTTTATTTTAGTTTTTATTGCTGAAGTGGCTGAGAAAGTCTTGTCAAGAAAATGAGCAACAGTCTGGTAGCTCTGTAACTCAGACATGGACAATGATTGTTTTTTTTAATGTCTGATCCACAACTGACATAGGACAGAGGACGTTGATCAGCTGTTCTTTTTCATGATTATCAAGGGCACATGATTTTATATATATCAAGAAAAGATTATTAATCAGAAGTTTTCGTTATGAGGATCCTCATTCTCAGGGAAATAATTGTCAAAGTTTTCTACTAACATGATTAAATGCTGAGTTGTTTTCTTGAATATCACTTGTACCTGTTTGATTCTCTTCTCATCCTTGGGATGTTAATCCTAGAGACTGCTATCCTGAAAGAGAAAAACTATCTACCCTGCGCTATTACATGATTAGGCAGAAATTTCTGGCGGCCCACCTGGACTTTTCCGCGGCCCACTGGTTGAACTCTCATCTAGGCCATTTGGTGAAAAATGAACAATGCAGAATCATGAATAGATCATTACTGTCTGGAGAGAATGCTGCAGCATGGAATTACCTACTGGTGTGATGAAGACTCAACACTCAGAGGAAAGTCACTAAGGACATACAATCATACTGCTGCTCATGCTCTCAGGTTTTGAACTCTCTCTGTGCTGGCTGCTAAAGATAAGGACAGTGTGTTTGTTGGAATGTTCCTGATGCTTTGATATCAGTTCTTAACTCAACTTATTGGTAACTAGTGATATGTATGGAGAGCTAAAACAGCTGGGCAACAAATAAGCAGTGCCAGCTATCATGAATATTTGTAACCCTTGAGCCAGATGTTCGTTAGCAGTCAACTGGTTCAGTCACGCCTTTCTGCTAGTCTCCGTTCGTGTCGCTGAGCTACAGGTCATGTCTCGGTCCCTAAGTACAGACAGGGACATTCACTGTCATCATACACTTTATCTCATACCCACACCAGACTCTGACAGTAACTAAATTGACCAAAAATATGATGAGGAAAAGGTGTGGCGATCCATTTAAAAAAGAATTATTTTACTTAGTCTTATTTTATCTTTTCCCCATTGGCTACAGTGCTTACAGGCAACCAGGTCACAGGGTTAAGTAAGTGTGATGCTATAATTAGTTTACAGGCCTCAAGATACCTAAGCCAGTTGATTCTGTGCAGCATTCATTCATTTTTACTAAATTGCTGTGACTGTAAAATTGTTGTTTTTTATAAGGATTGTGTTGTTGTTGTTGTTTAGAATATCTGCAAAATGGAATGTACAAGAGGTTTGGCTTTGTTTTTCTAGGCCAGTGGAGTGTACAGGCTGGAGTGTCATCATCACTAATTTGGCTTCTGAACAGAAACATGAAAAAATAAACATTATTTTTTTTAAATCAATTTTTTTAAAAATGAATGGCTGAATGTTAAAATTCTAGTAACTAAAACTTGTTTATTATTTCTCAACACAGCTTCAGCTTCTAAATATTAGGTTTTTACAGAAAAAAACTTTTCCACTTCTTGATATATTTGTCTTTTCCTTTTTATCTGGTCTGTTGAATAGTAAGCTTCACAAATAATAAACGACTTGGTTAATTGACTAAGAAACCAATTATATTGCTGAATAGGTCTTTGTCTTCAGACTAGCTGATTGTGATACAAAGGCTATTGCAAACCATGCTGACATTCTGTTTTACACTCTTCCTTCTCCCTGTGTGGGTTCCGGGGCCCTATTTGGGGGTGGGGGAATAGACGCACTGCCCCTAACATGCGTGTCATGAAAGGCAACTAATTAGGGATTTTTTCCTTGAGCCCAAGAAGTGAGGAAACCAGCAGTCTGCACTGAAAAAAAGTCCAGAACTTTCTGCCAGGGTTTACAGCCAGTGAATGCAAAGAAGAAGAAGAAGATACTCTCCCTTAAGTTAGTTTCTTCTGCAGTCACCCTTTGAAGTGCAGTTGGCATGTTGTGGTTGGTGGCTATGCTGCGATAATCTGTGCTTTCTGCCCCAACAAACCAATTTCCCCAAACCCTTAATTAAGTATTTTTTAATACATGTTTGTTGAGGGGTCTTTATACCCTTCCCCCATTGGCCTAGCACTCTCATAGAGATTGATATGTTTCAAACACTCCCCCACCCCACACCCCCCTTTCATTATATTACATATAACCTACTAGCTACAGCAGTAAGGTTAGACACCAGCAAAAATGCAACTAAATAATGCAAGTAAAACCTACAAGTATGTTGAACTTCTAGCATGCAGCTGGCCTTTACAGGGCATGTTTTGTGTGAGTGTGTGTGTGTTTGTTTTCATTTTGGGAGAGAACTTCTTTCTTTTAACATTTGACATTTCTTTTCACCATAAGGCACAGAGTAAAATGACATTGTGCATGGTCTTGCACATCCACACAAATATTTCTGAATATTGGATTATTGGTACTAAGGTAAAGAGGAGCAACTTTAGATATGTCTAGAAGACAATGATGATAATCTACACTGAACTGAACAAACAGGTCTGATTTATTGGACTATGGCCAGGCCAGAGTTTTAAACTGTTTGTATATCAGGGCTATGGTGGATTTTCAGACATCTACTTCTGTGAGCATAGGCATGAAGGTACCATCTAAACAAACTACTTAAATACTATTTGAGAAGCTCAAATTTTGTTGTTGTTTTGTACTGAAATCTACAAAGTTGTAATGAAGGATAAGATGTATGCAGCCATATATAAACTTTACATTCATATCTATCTACTGAAAGAAAAATATACAGGGAAGTTTAAAAGGTCACACAAGAAAACATAAAACTGAATAAATAGGCTGTTATCAGAGATACTTCCTTTGTGTACTTCCTCTTTTCCTTTTCTCGGTTAATTGACTAAGAACCGTTTTATATGCTGGATAGGTCATTGTCTTCAGACCAGCTGATTGTGAAATATAGGCACCAGCAACAATTCAACAAGTAAATAATGCAAGCAAAAACTTCCAATGTGTTAAACTTTTAGCATGCAGCTGACCTTTACATGCCATGTTTTTTGTCTATTGTTTTTGTTTTTTTGGAGAAAACTTGTTTCATTAACTTTTGACATGTCTTTTTACTGTAAGGCATAGAGTAAAATATGACATTGTTCTGAATATTGTAAGCTGTATATATATATATATATATGTGTATATATATATGTGTATATATATATATATATATATATATATATATATATATATATATATATATATATATATATATATATATATATATATATATATATATATATATATATATATATATATATATATATATATATATATATATATATATGTACATATATATATATATATATATATATATATATATATATATATATATATATATATATATATATATATATTTATATATATATATATATATATATATATGTGTGTGTGTGTGTGTGTGTGTATATATATATATATATATATATGTATATATATATATATATATATATATATATATATATATATATATATATATATATATATATATATATATATATATATATATATATATATATATATATATATATATATATATATATATATATATATATATATATATATATATATATATATATATATATGTATATATATATATATATATATATATATATATATAAGTTTTGTTGAACTACTGCATTCACCCTTAAAAGATCGGTTGGCACATTGTATTGTGGTTTACCGCTAGGCTTTAATATTTGTAACTTTCCTCCCAACAATCTGATTAGTGAAGCCTTAATTGCTTGGCATTGAATGGAAAAAAGAATTACTAGGAAGTTAAGAAAAGTGAAATACATTACACAGCTTGAGTGCATTGTAAGTTGAGAAATTATGTTTTGCCTGAAAGATCATTAATACACTACTTTGGCAAGGAATATCTCAGTTATGTGCGCTAGTTTTTTTTTTTCATCTGGTCATTTATTTATTTGTGATTGTGTGTTTTTCCCCGGGTTAATTCTTACAGTCATAAATCAGGAAGAAAATTAAACTTTAAAAGCATACAGTTATAGTTTGTGTTCACTCACAAAAAGAATACTTGTGTGTAACAAGAGTATATACATTAACTCTGCTTATGTATTTTACCAAGTAAAATAGGCAGACAAGCTGAAGAACAGTTACTCACAGCAGAGATGTGAGGTTTTTGAAAGACAAAAATTAAAAGTTATAATGAAATGATAGAAAAACAAATTAGGCAGTCCTCCTAAAAGAGAGAAAACTCTATAAACTTATTAGAGAAATTAGATGTAGACAGCGTTGAAAAAAAATTGCTTTTTATCTTGACATGCTATGAGAAGAAATGGGTTCAAGAACTTGATTGCAACCAAGGTTGATCTGCCTGAGCTGCAGGAATCAACAGTCTGCATACAGATAAGCCAGATCTGTAAAAGTGGATGTGCTCGCAACACTCAAGTTCTGGATCAGGACTAAAGTCCAAAAGTTGACTAACAACCAGAGCTTTCTGCCAGTTAACAGCCGGTGAATGCAGCGAAGAAGAAATTGAGAGAGGAGCAAAAAGAAGGCAAAGAGATAAATACTTGGATAGCTTGACCATATGGATGGGGTGGGGTGGGGGGGGGGGCAAGAGCACTGCCCTGATCTGGGATTCTGGTGATCATGTAAGAGAGGGCACATGATAAATGCATTGGGTGTGATATGTTTTGTGACCAAACAAATGGATATATATCTGTGTCATCCATTTCTTCTTTTTGATGTCAAATTTAGATGTCAGCTTTACTTTTAGATACAGAGTCACCAATTTGTAATACATCTGATCATAGTCAAGAGGATTAGTTTCTAAATATAATATTCAGTATTTGTCTTTCATTTTCAGACGTGAGATTTTAGAGAAGATCAAAGATTTTAACAAGTATTATGAAGGCAAAGTTCACCATCAGATGACAGCACATGAGGTATTGCATTCATATTGCCTGCTTCCTTTCTGTCAAACTGTCTCTCTTTTCTATGTTATTTACAGTTTTTTCTACATCATCATCATCATTATCATGGGCTGTGCTAAGTATGGATGGTCATGGTTTTTCATCTCATGTGTTCACGGGTCTGGAATCAGATCACAGTTCTTGTCTGGATCAGCCATTTAGCCAAGGAATTTCTTTCTCTGCTTTTCTCTTTTTCTTTTCTTATCAAGATTACCACTTGTTACCAAGTTTTCAAGATTATTTATTCTCACACGATGTCCTAAAATCTGGAATTTCTGCTTCTATCTACACAGCTCAAAAATTAGTTAGCTACTACTGAATTATTATTTTTTGCATTATTTCTAAGTAAATAAATGAGTTAGCTTGCTGAAGTGAGAGCTGTGAACTAAATCCACTTGTGTTACCCAAATGACAAGAAAAGCAGTGAAAGGATGCAATATGTTCACTATCATGCTAAGAGTAATTTACTTCAGTTTGAGTTTACCTTTAAAATGTTGAGTTTACTATTACAATTTTACCGTTAAAAGTTTGAGTTTATTATTACAAGTTTGGATTTACAATTAAAAGCTATCTTGAACTCTAAAACTGTCTATGATATTGCAAGCTAATTATTGCCGGGGCCTTTTCTCTTTAGGTACACAATAGTATGCAGTGCAGGCTTCATTTTAGGCATTAGTTTTTTTTTCATCACTTTTGTAATAGACCATTTGTGGTTAGGATCAGCGCCATGGTTATTGCATTTGGTTCTTCTTTTCTGGAGCCTAGACCCCCACCCGACAATTCAGGATATCCTATATTTTGCTGTCTCCTGCAACTCCCTAATGTCCTCCATGTATTATTGATTGCTCTCTTCAGTTTTCATCTGCATATGTTTGAAGTCTCAGGTTTTTCTTTTATTGTGCAGTTTCCAGAAAAAGAACCCTTTAGTTATACCTTGAGGGGAAGTCATTAAGTAAGTCATAAATGGTTACGCAATGGCAGGATATCGTAGTTGGGATTTCTAAAGGTGTTATTAGGTGACAGCAACATCAAACTTTATGTCTTGCTAGGTGGCACTAGGTGTTGCATTCACATTCGCAACACAGAAACAAAACTGTGCTTAGTTAGTGTAACCTCCCAAAAAAAAAAATATGCTTTGGGGGAGGGGGATTGGGGGGGGGGGGGGGGGGGCAAAAGGGCTGACTGCAAAGGACATTTATAAAGAAATGCTTTCTGTTAGGCTGGCAAATGTTTATCCCTTAAAGCGATGCATAGCTGGGTAACAATTTTTTTCTCAGGGCTGCTCTAAAATTGTTAGTGAAGTCCGATCTGGTCGTCCTGTTGAGATTGCAACAGCCGCATCCATGCAGCGGGTGGAGGAGATAATTAGAGGTGATGGTTGAGTAACGGTTGACTCTATAGCAGCTGCAGCAGGGTGCTCACATAGTTCAGCATGCAACATAATGCATGAGGGATTGAAATTTAAGAAAGTTTCCCCAAGGTGGGTACCCAGACAATTAACAGACGAACAAAAAATGAACCGATTAGGCCTGTCCTTAGAGCATATCTGTTGATACACAAAAGGAGAAGGCTGAACAGGATTATTACTAGGGACGAATCATGGGTGCATCACTACCAACCCGAATCAAAGCTTGCTTCAGTGCAATGGAAACATCCTTTGCCCTGAGTTGAAAAATTCAGGGTTACGCCATCAGCAGGGAAGGTTATGCTGACAGTGTTCTGAGATTGTCAAGGAGTACTTTTAACCAATTTAAAAAAAAAAAAGGTTGCAATGTGAATGCTGATTCATACTGTAAAGTTCTATTGATGCTTCCTGATGCAATTCAAAGAAAACATCCAGGCCTGCTGACTAAAGGAGTACTGCTCCTTCATGACAATGCCAGACCACATGTGCCTCAGTTAACTCAGGATAGAATTAACTGTCTAGGGTGGGAACTTCTGGAACATCCACCTTACCGCCCCAACTTAGCCGCTAGGGATATCTGCCTTTTTGATCCACTGAAAACCCACCTTGATGAGAGACATTTCGCGAATGATGTAGAATGTAAAGTGAAAATTTGGTTTTAAAAAACAGAGCACACAGTTCTATGCAGCAGGTTTGGGATGGCTGATAAAACAATGGGACAGGTGCATCAACATTGGTGGAAATTATATTGAAAAATAAAGGGATGGTGTATGTGTAAAAATAGTTTCTTGTTGTTATCATCTTTAGTTTTTAATTATTTTTTTTTTTAAACAACCAATTGTGACTTACTTACTGATTTCCTCTCGTATAATCAGATGTTCTCTTGAGTCCAGTCCAGCATGATTATCCTTTTCTCAGTTCTTGATTGGCTATAATCTCTAGTTCTCTCCATTGACTGCATTAATAATTGTATCATTCTAATGATCACATATGCAGGTGTCAGTTCTGGAGATTTCTCTAACTGGTAGGAGGTAAGTCTAGATTCTTTGCAGCTTTCATTATGCATATCTTGAAGTAAACTGTTGAGTATATCAGTATTATATTTCACCAGTGATGTCTGATTTCAGAAAGAGGATGGAAGTGTCCATGTTGAAGGTCCCCTCAGGATATACTGGGGTCTCAGCAGACCCATCCAGCTTGTTCACTGTGACAACATCCCACCAGCACCCATCTCACAGTGGAGACACAGTCTGTGTGTGGGGCCTGAGTCCCCGGACATTCCAGAAAAACGATTTTCCACGGTATTATTTTTTTTTTCCATTCAGTGTCTTAAAGATGTTACCTGTCTGTGAATTTACTATCATCATCATCATCATTGTCATCATCATCATCATCAGGTGCCCTGCCGACTGGCGTAGGCGTTCATGCATCTCCACAGATCTCTGTCTCTTGTCCTCTGGATCATTTCCACTGATAATATCCCTCTGTGCCACCGTCACAATCCATTTGTCATCTCTTTCTGTCTCCCTCTCCCTCTTTTACCATTCTTCCCAGTCATCACAGTATTCTCCAAAGCCTTCCCTGCAGTGCTTGACATTGATATTTTTTTCATTAGCTTCTTTCAAGCAATCCTCATTACTCAGTCCAAGATATTCTTAACATTCGTCTGAGGAACCATATCTCTGTCGCCTCCAAGTTCTTTTTGATATGTGCATTCACATTCCTTGATTCACTATGATAAAGCAGTATAGGTTCTACATAACATTTTAGTACCTTTTTCGGACATCCAAAGTGAAGGACCTATTGCACAAAATGTTCTTTGTTGTGTGAAATGCAGCCTAGCCTGACCTATTCTGCTCTTAATTTCTGAGCCATCTTCCATCTGATGTTATGATTGTACCCAGATATTTGAATTGATTGACTTGGATCAACTTTCTGCCTTCTATTCTAATATCACACTGTAGTGGTATTCTTTTCTTTGAAATAACCATTACCTCTGTTTTGTTTACATTCAAGGACCAACATTTTTTTGCACTCTGCCTCACTACAGTGTCCAATAATTGTTGTATGTAGATCATTTGCATTTTCAGCCAGCAACACTGTGTCATCTGCATAACGTATGTTGTTTTTATCTTATAACCTACCACTCTAATTCCTTGCATATCTTTGATCTCTCAATATTATTGCGCTGTAGAGAGAGATGAGGTCAGATGGCAAAACACATCCCTGTCTTACTCCTTGTTTGATCTGTTCACATATGCCTGTTCTATTTTCATTTTAACGGCTGCCATTTGCTTCCAATAAATATTCTTATTTATTCTGAGGTCTTTCCTATCAGTGTTAATATTTGTCAACATTTTGACAAGGTCCTTGTGTTTCACCTTATCAAATGAATTTACTATGAAGAAACATAATTCTGCATGTATTTAAAGAATAGTTCCCTGTGAGTTCCAGGGCCCCATTATGGGGGGAAAAAGAATGCAACAAGCATGTCATTAGAGTTGACTTATTGGGGCTTCCTTTGAAGTTGTAGTGAATCTGCCAGAGAGGCAGGGAACCAACAGTCTGCATGCGGATAAGGCAAAAATGTAAAACAGATGTGCATGCAATACACACGATTCTGATGATATTCCTCTATGCCACTGTCTTAAGCCATCCACCATCATTTCTCTTGGTCTGCCTCTGCCTCTTCTACCAGTAATCTTTCCAGTCGTTGCAATATTTTCCAGTGCTCATTTTCTCATCACATGACCAAAGAACTTTTCTCTCCTTCTTATTGTTGTATATATTGTTCTACTTTCATTAGCCATTTCCAGGCAATCATTGTTAGTTATTCTGAGAGTTCAGGGTATTTGCAACATTCTTCTTAAGAACATCATGAGATGACCTCATATATTCTAAAATTGCAGAGCTTCAGAAGATCTGGTTCTCCCACCAGAAAATCCAGAGAGTTGGATGATATCCTAACGCCTTCCTCCCCCGATGATGTTGTTAGACGGCAGAAGAAAGTGAGAAAATTCAAAACTGTTGCGTACAGAGGAGATCAACCAACAAAATGGAAGCGGGCATCTATAAATGGTCATGTATTCAACTTTGATGTAAGTTAATTCAGTTTATTGTTATTTGGTTCCACCTTAATATTCATATTTAAAAAATAAAATTTTCTGTAGTGAATCCTTTTCATTACTTACAATATTTTAAAATTGTCTGCAGTCATTCCTTTTTTCATGGTCAAATCTTTTGTGATGACACTCTTTTCTTGAAATTATTTTTCTGAAGAGCTAAGAGAATTATTGGCAATCATCATCAATCATTGGCGTCTCCATAATTAAGGTTGGCTGCAATGGATCTTCAGTGTGCTGTGTCTCTTGTCTTGGTTGTACACTCACTTAGGCTGCTGTTTGTCCATATTTTAATGTTTTCCTCCCACTTGTAATGATGTCGACCTCATGCTGTCTTGCCCTTGACCTTTCCTTCCAGTGTGGTTTGTAAAATGGTTTTTAAAATCAAAGCTTTTAATGTGGCCAGAATATTATAATTGTCTCTTTATTTATTTATTTCAATAATTCTTGTTTCATTCACAGTCTTTTATTGTTTTTGTTTCCATAAAATACGCCTCATTCTTCTGCATATCCACAATTAGATTTTCTAGTTGCCTCTTCATTGTCCAAGTTTTTGCACCATGCAGCAGGGTTGAGTATATGTAACACTTGATGATTCTCATTTGCAGTGTGTTCATCTCTTTAGCTGTCAATAATACTGACAATAAAATACAGTTACGTGTCATGGTAAGTTTTATCTTAAGTACCCATCAAAAATATTAGCATTGCCTAACCCGATGTTGCTAATTTTGAAAAATAGAAAAAGAACAGAGATTACAAACTATTTTTTGACTCCATTCAATCTGCCATATTTTAAATTGAGATTTATGTTTTTTTTCTTTAATTATCATAACACTAGATGAGAGGAGAGAGGAAAGAGAGTGAGATTATCAGTGTCTGAAACTATACATAACAACTGTTCCTCGTGGCTTCTTCTTCGTATTCACTGACTGTAAAACTGCAGCAGAAATTTATGGTTGTTTGTCAACCTCTGGACTTTTAGTCTTGTTCTAGAACTTGAGTTTTGCAAACACATTTGTTTTACAGATTTGACTTTTTGTGCGCAGACAGCTGGTTTCTTGCCTCTGAGACGGATGCATTAGTCAACTCTTACAGCATGCTTGTTGTGGAGGCAGTGGGTCTGTTTTGTTTTTCCCCACCATGAGGTCCCGGAACCCACACTAGGATCATTGTGAATTTGAACCAGTCCTTTGGGTCAGTAAGCAAGCATCAGGCCACTGTGTGTGTAACCTCACACCCTTATCAGAAGTAACAGCTAACAAAAAATGTTGAGTTGCTGATCCATTTGTGTGTACTTATTTTTTCTTATTCATGTATACATGTATTATCGTATATCCTTATCCATTTTGCTTTTTGCAGACGAGTGTGTTTACTCCAGTCCTAGGGAGCTGTACCAGTGTCACAGTTGATGGCACTCTCAACTGCTCTGATGTTATAGAAACATTGCTGGATAAATTCAAGGTTTGTCTGTTACCTGTTTTACCTGTAATATCTGTGTTTTGAGATTTAAGAATTTCTTTGAAAGTAAATGTTTTTTAATCCTGAAGTGTGGCTTGATAGTGTGATAATTTGGTAGCATAGCGGCTTCCTTCGTGGAATAACTACTACCAGGGTCTTTGTCAGGAGGAGATCAAGTTTAGGAGTTCAAAATGAGAGCCAGCTATTGCAGACTGAAATATCACCATTCTCTAAACTGGAAGCTGGACTAATAGATATGTATTGTTGTCTTATTCTTCTGTATTTTGTCTGCCTCTTGAGCATAGTCTGTTAACCATCTTATCTCAATCCTGAAAAATTGCTAAATGTAGCCGGTCTCAAGCAGACTCTTCCTAGCTACATCTAATGCCATTCATGGTTGGTTACAGAGTTTATTTTATCACATAGTGGTTCTACAGAGTGTAATAAAGTTGGCTTTTAGTTGGCCTGTGTTTTATGTAGTATATCCTAATTCTATGTTTGTTTCCTGTAGTAAATCTGAATTTTTGATCTTTCTCAGGTTCAGAACAGCCCAGATGAGTATGTTCTGTCCGTGGTTACTGAGGAAGGTACGTGGACATCATAATTATTTATCAGCATAGCAGATTTAGCAGAAATTCATGCAACAGAATCATCCTCCTCACTATGTAGCAGTTTTGCATAGTATGTCACTATTATCATGGCCAGCCGACATAATTCTTGATCCTGTGTCAGTTATTTTGATTCAAGCATGTCCATATCTAATAATGTCCATAATGTGTCCACCCTTGAGTCTCTTTTTCTTCAGAAACCCTGCCTCTCTTTAATGCAGTTTCTAAGCTAAGCTGTCTTTTCCTTCATTCTCTTCTATCTGTTGTGACCTTTCTGATGTCATGGATGGAACCTAGTCCATCACCTTCCGCCTCTCTCAGCAACGTTTACCTAGTGTTGTCTTCAACATTCTCATTTTCTCAATAATGTATTTCCTCTATGAAATGAAGATAGTTGGAAAGGGTGGAAACAAGATAAGATAAGAGTATTGCATGTATAGTGTGTTCCTCATGTATTTGAAGAACATAAATTCAACATATTGTCCTGTGAGGTGCTGCCATAGCAAACAGCTAAGATGATTGCCTGCTGGCTAGCACCATTTACCCAGTATACCTCAAGACAAGGAAGAGGATAACTTACTGTTCACTTTACCTTCTTGTAGTCACTGTCTGTGGCTTCGGTTTGTAAACACACTTCATAATTCTGTATTACCCTGTTTTATTTTGGCACCAGATTGATTTATGTTAATTTTAACAATTTTAAAAAGTACTGGCTATTCAGAACAGTGGTAAAGTACTAAACACAAAATTGACTATTCAGACCATCGAAATCCCCCAAAAAATGCTGTTGTTGGTTCTGCAGTGTCCTGTAAAGGACAGGCAGCTTCTTTTTTTAAATCCATGCTGTGTGGCGTTGGTAGTCTTCTCTATCCACAACCTTCTGTCTTGTTTCAATTGTTTTTGACACATAGGAAGTTAACCCTACCAGACCTGACGCCGTGAACCTAACTGTCCCTATAACCTGAGCTCCTGGGCACTAACACGCAAAAAACCAACATGATGTACAACAAAATTAGTTACATGCTAACAAGTGGTTAGAGTAAGATAAAACTTGGAGACATTGTAGAAAATTGGTTTACCTTTCATCTAGCGCCAATCTTTCCCCCTTTGTATGCCAGTCCACCTAGTAGGATCAGTCTTGATTCACAAAGTAAGCACCAGATGTTGCTGTTTGAGGGACACGCCCCTTTCTCTTACTATCAATCTAGTTTTAAATCTATAATTTTCATAATTCTCCTCCTTACTCTAGCTCTAACTGACTGTGTCACTTCAACTGGGAACATATTCTTTATGAACGTATTCACAGTCTGAATTAATCAAAGTATCGATCAACTGTTGGACTGTGATAAGCCTAGACCTACGTCACTTTCCTGTCGAAGCCGCTCGTTTCATTGAGAATTTTCCGAATTTTTTTCACATCAAACCACACAAAGAAATCTCAACACACGTCGGAAGTCATTCGCAATGACTAGCAACAAAGTCTGATGGCGATTGGCTGTTTATTTTAAGTCTGTGACGCATATTTGTCACATACTACTTAAATTCCCGAAAAAGTGGGCCAGCGGTTTAGCGGCTGGTTAGGAAATTCTGGTAGGGTTAAACTGTTCAGCATCCTCTCTCAGTCTCCCTCTGCTTTTTTTCCTCTCCAGCTTTCTCACCGTCACTCCACTTTTCTCCTTCTCTTGACATGACCAAAGAATGTAGATTGTTTGCTTCTGATGTTGACTGTCATGTCATCTTCGTTACTCTTTTTTAATCTCCACATCTATAAAACTACATCTCCACCACTTCCAGCTGTTTATTAACAACTTGTTGTGTGACAGGTGAGAGACTGCTGACCCACTCAGACAAACCATGCTCTCAACTTTATCTTATTATCTTTTATACACTGATTTGGTATGCATTACCACAAGCTTTCATTACCTAAACATAACCACCTTTGTCTTCTTCTGCTGCTGCTGCTTCTTCCTTGTTATCCTCCTCAACCTACTAATACCAAGTTTTCCTAACCATTGCTGTCACATTCAGCTCTTCTCATCTCTTTAACTTCACTCTCTTGTTCCTTATTCTGTGAGTTTTTGTAAATGTGTGTCTGTCTGCCTTTTTCTCATTCACCCTTGGTGTTCCATTGCAGACATAAGGATGCAAAAAAAAAAAAAAAAAGGTTAAAAGAGAACACGCTACCCATCCTCTTTCAAGCAAACTACTGAAGTAATGCATTGTCTATAATAAATTAGATTGTTTTGCTTGTCCACAGGTGGAGCAGCTGCTAGTTTTACCAGAAGCTGTCCTTAGGGGAATTCTAGCCAAGTATTACAATGATGAGGAGAAGGAGGTTACACTAGTGAAAGCAAGGTAATATTCTTCTGTTATTTTAGGCTTGTTAGTTTTCAACTGTGCAGTTACTATTTGTCCTTTATTCCTCAACAGAGCACAGGCCCTCTACTAACATGCTGCTGTTTTATCTGTAGCCATCACATGCACTTCACCCCATGTCCTCCCCATCTTTTTTCTAACTTCACTGTCTAGTTCACTTTTTCATGAGTTTTTGGTCTGCAATTATGTCTTCAACCCTGTGAGTTCCTATGCAAAGATATTCTAGTTATATATTTTTAGGTTAGTTCTCTTGAAAAGCTCTACATGAATGATTCTGTTATGACATTTCATTCCGTCTATTCTGAACAGGCATCAGTTAGTGAATGTTTTAGTTTATTAGTTATTGTTTCAGTTGTTTTCCATGTTTTGGCTCCATACAACAGTACTGATTTGATATTGGAAATAAATATTTTAAGTGAGCAGTCACTATTTTTTACTTGTTGTTGGTGATGAATCCTCTCAGTTTTGAACAGAAATGGCATGTGTCAGAATGATGATTGTGTGGAGACTGTTCATCAGACTCAGGACTGAAACGAACTTCAAGAAAAAAAAAAAGAAGAAAGAGTTGAGAATTTAAGTGAATCATACAATTGTGAAATCATTGATACTCATATTGCAACCGATGACAATGCTTCTGTCTTTTCCCCAGATATGAAACTGCGAGAAGGAGGATGGAGAAAAGGTTACGTGACATGCAGTCACACCAGACTTCTTCCACTGCATGATTCAAACCAGGAAATTTCTTGGCTACCAGAGTGCCACTTGGCAAGTCATTATTGGTTGGGGAGAACTGCCCGGTGTTGTATATCGCTGACAGTGCTTCTCATGTTTCTGACGAGAGCCACAGACATTTCACATGTTTTTTTGTTTGTTTCCAAAACAAACACACTGTGTCATACGGTTGTTATAACTGTTTGGTTTGTGAACAAAATACGCAGAAAAATAATTAAATAATCCGTTGGGCATAATGTATAGTACAGGCAGCAGAGGTCATAATTTCTTTAACTTTTACAGTAGACATTAAGTCAAGACTTTTCTGAGCAGAAAGTGTTCAACAGAACAGGTCTAATTTGTGTTTCTCTACAGTTCACGAATAAGCCATGACTTCAAGGAGTAGGAAGTGTTCAGTAGAAAAGGTCATAAATTTTTTTTCAATTTTCAAGTCAACAGTAGGTCTTTTGTTAAGAAGAAAGTGTTTAACATAAGAGGTGGCACTTTATATTACTTTACAGGTCAACAAGAGGTCATGTCTTTATGGAGCTGAATGTGTTCAACACAAGAGGTCATAATGTTTGTTACTGTAAGGCCAACCATAGATGGTAACTTTAGGGAGCACTAAGTGTTCAACATAAAATATGCATTATATGCCTAAGAAGACTGTAAACATAATAAAAGAGTGAAAAAGCGTGAGCTTATTACTTTCAGCTAGGCAATAGTCACTGCGTTGTATGTTAAAGAGCTAGCCAGATTTCGCTAGTGTACTTAGACCAAGTGTTAAAGATATAATAGTAACACACCGTCTGTTGCTTGGTACACACAGGTATGTTTGTTGGGACAGAATGAGCAAATGGGGATTCAAACAGGTGTCCTTTGGTTGCTTGGTTATGTATCTGAGTTTCAGAGTTTGTTTTATTTTTGTTTTGTAAAGAATAAAGATCTTCCACCAATTATGTACATTTTGGCATCTTTATTTTGATATTCATACATTCATTAATACCAGGTTCTCTTCTATTCTGAGGTGTAAAGATACTTTACAATCTTTTAGTTATTGCTCATCTTCTCTGGGATAAAGAGGTACTTTAGTCTTGTTTATCATTCTTCACCTACAGGGTCTTCTTCTTCTTCTTCATGTTCACTGACTGTAAAGTTCTGGTTGTTCTTCCACCTCTGGACCCCAGTCCTGTTCCAGAACCTGAGTCTTGCATGCAGACCCATTTCACAGGTCTGATTTACTTGTATGCAAACTGTTGGTTCCTTGCCCCTCCAGCAGATGCACTCTGACTTCGAAGAAAGCTCCTCAGTTAGTCAACTCTTGCGATATGCTTTTGTGGAGGCAGTGGGTCTGTTCTTGTTTTCCCCACAAGGGGGCCCTGGAACCCACATGGTGAGTTTGGGTTATAGAAGTGTTTTACAATCTTGTTTAGTTATTGGTCACCTACCCTGGGTGGTACTTTACAATCTTGTTTAGTTTTTGGTCACCTACCCTGAAGTGTAGAAATACTTTACAATCTTGTTTAGATGTTGCTCACCTCACCTACTCGAGGGTGTTGATGTATTTTACAGTCTATGGTTTTGTTTTATTTTGAATTGATTACACACATCCAGTGTCTTCGATTAATTAGTGTTCCAACCCCATAATGAAAGTTAGCTAAAGTACTTACTGCTGCCTTTGAGAATATTACATGGTGAGGCCTAGTGTCTTCCACAGTGCGACTTTTGTACCATCTGAAAACCATGAAGACAGTTTGAAAGAAAAAAACCACCCCTGTAGAAGTTGAAGACTTCTAATCGAGGATTGTGACATTAATAAACTCAATCACTGTCTTTTAAGCCATCGAGCTGAACAGTGTCTTTGTTTATGAAAATGTAGCTGTTCATTAGGAATGATGTGACTCTTATGTTGTCTTAAAACTTGAGAATGGTTTTGGAGAAAAAAATGGAACCCTTGTACTTGAGCAATATGAAATTGTTAAACTCAGTCACTAGCAACTAAGTCACGAACAGTGTCTTTGTTTATAAAAAAAAAATGTAGCTCTTCATTAAAGATGGTATGACTCTTATGTTGTCTTAAAACTTTGAGAACGGTTTTGGAGAAAAAAAAAGGAACCCTTGTACTTGAGAATTATGAAATTATTAAACTCAGTCACTATCAGCTAAGTCACGAACAATGTCTTTGTTTAATGAACAGTTAGCTAGTCAGTGAGATTTCTCACAGAAATAAAGCCTGACATAATTTGGTTGGTCTGATAGATAGTGTGTGTTCTGTAAATATTTCTTCTTCACTGAATTCAAAGTTGAACTGGCTCAGTTATATGGTGTCCACCACAGAGTCCTAGCTTGTATACTGTTGTTTATGTAGATTTGTCAATTGAGTTGTCCGGTCTTGTATAATTTAAAGAACTAGGGGTCAACCTAGCATAAAATGGGTACTAGGAAGTGTCCTGGGAAATAAAGAAAACTGGTCGGTTGCTGACTACATCACCCAATGAGAGCTGATTGGTCTATAAAATAGGACTAAATGATTGATGTGTCAAAAAGATCCTTTACTTTACTTGTGCTTATAAGCTAGGAAACTCTTTCCACGTGTAAAGGTTGTCATCTTCTTTTTATAAGAGCATACAGACTGTAAACTCTGGCAGAAAGTTCTGGTTGTTTGTCCATTTCTGGGCCAGAACTTGAATTTTGTATGCAAATCCATTCTACAGATCTGGCTTATTTATATGCAAACCGCTGGTTCCTCGCCTCTCAGGCAGATGCACTCCGACCTCAAAGAAAAAATGGGCTAATTAGTTGCCTTATACAACACGCTTGTTGGGGAGGCAGTGGGTCTATTCCTTTTTGCCCCACAATAGGGTCCTGGAGCCCCATGGTGGTGGGGAAGGTTTGTCCTCTTGGATGCTCTTGTCCACGTGAGAATGTTGCACTTTTCTAACAAATGCTTTTGTCTTTTTGTGACTTTTATAACGTCGGGCACTCATGCAAGAGACCCGGGTTCGATGGAGTGATGGAGTTTTTCTGTTGGGGGCAAAATTCAACACCCTAATCTGGACGCTCCTTGGTGACAACACTAGTCATGTGGCTCTTAATACTCTGGCTCACGACCTTCCATCTAAACCACCATAAAAAGTGCTAAAACAGCAGTAGTGACAGTTTTGTTTATAACATTGACAACTTATCTAGGATGCTGTGTTGACCTGTGTTATTTTGAAAGAAGTAAAGATAATCCATACCAGAGGCTGTCACTGGGGTGTGCAGTGTTGGGCCTTTACACATTCTGGGTCATGACGTATGAAGTGGAGTGACCACTTACCTCCCTTGCTGCCTTTCCTCCCCAGACAAATTGCAGAAGATTCTGGATATAAGTACCCATTTGTTTAGGCTGGGTCAGCCTCAGAGCTGTGTTGATTGAAAAATAAAATTTACCCCTAGGCCTGTCACGGAATCTCCATTGACGCTTAAACGAAGAAGTATTAAGAACTCTAAACAGGAAGTAACCCAGTTAGTGGGGGGGGGGGGGGGGGGCTGTGAGAGAGGTTATGGCAAGGGATGAAACACTAAAATATTTGAGACAAAATTGTTGTACGCTGAAGGCTTTCACTGGGAAACAACAAAAGCTGTTAACTTATTCTGTTTGGGGCATATAGTTCAGCATCATACTTTACACATGTAATGCTGAAAAGTTACTGTGCTTTTGTAAACTTTCACATTGACAAATTTACTGTGAATATTTGAGATAATTTCGTTACATGTAGTAATATCTTGCTTCTGTTTTGTGTCATTATTTACCTACTGGCTGATATTTGGACTAATCCATAGAAAGATGTTTACTTATTTCTTTGTTGGGATGTCTGATTATGAGATTGCTTCTTTGTTGGGATGTCTGGTTATGAGATTGCTTCTTTGTTGGGATGTCTGATTATGAGATTGCTTCTTTGTTGGGATGTCTGGTTATGTGGACAGTGGTGTAACTTTTGTTGAAAAACCGGTTGTGACAGATCTTTTTGTTACACTTGCATTTCACTTGTGTACTGCTTTGTTGCATTTTTTTTTCTATTGGCTGGCATCACGAAATAGTTAGTTTGTGATACAGACTTTGGCTGCCATCATTAACCCTTTTATCTTGAGAAGACTTTTTCTTTTAAAAATGGCAGATGAACCCAAGGCATTCCTGAAAAATAAATCCTTAACATAACTAGCATTTGACACTGATTAATAATAAATTTTGTAAAAATTCATTTATCTACATTAAAACAACTTTATTTTGAAATGTATAAAGTTATACAAAGGGATTGTTCAATAAATGTGGACATAGTGAAGCATTAAATGGAATACATTCGTCCGGGTCTAACAAAAAATCATGTATTGGATGACCCATGCCCTATGACGTTTAACACTGAAGCTGTGAGAAAATTTGGCTATCTTCCGAATAACGGTCCCATTGCGATCTTCCGGGGACTATACCGCTGAGAGTATCCCCCACGCCGCTCACGTGGCATGGATTAGGGCTAAACTAGATGGCTGGGACACACGAGCAAATAAAATGAAGGAAGCTGCATGAGATGCGGTAGCTGCTGCTCGTGAGTCCAGCCATCCAGTTTAGCCCCAATCTACGCCGCGTGAGCGGCGTGGGAGACACTCTCGGCGGCGGCGGTAGTGCGCAATTTAAGCCGCTGGAAGTTCGCAATTGACACGTGACTGAGGCTCTGTTAGGGTTTATTTTCCGCCTCGATAATTTGGGACCGTTATTCGGAAGATAGTTAAATAGCCATTTGATTTACAAGACCTCGTTTCCCCAAATAGTATTGTTAGGAAGGGCACCTGGAGATGGACAGTAGAAAGGGAAGTGGTGTGTAAACTAACATGGTGTACAATAGGCAGAAAAGCAGTAAATCAGCAGCAGTAGGGGTCACTTGTGAATGCCGTTGTGTCAGCAACATGAAGAGGATAAAGATTGATAGATTATATTTCGAATAATCTGGTAAAAGATTATATTTTGAATAAATCT